CCCCCGCCATTAGCCAAGGCCTCCCGACCCAAGCAGCCCCTGCCCTCTGGCCCCACGGGGCTGGTACGGAGGCCACGCCCGGCTCCGGGTCTGAGGAGGTCAGCAAGCGCTCGGCCCACCAGACACTGAGCCCAGCCAGGGACCTGGGCAGCTGTTTCTGGTTTGCACTAGCTTCTGGCCCCCTCCCACCCAGGACGCAGCTGGACAGGTTTGCAGTGAGCTGAGAGCTAAGCAACCTCTGTCCCCAGCCAGGGCGGTGGATAGAAGCTCCCAGCCTGCCTCAGTGCCCTGCAGCCCCTCACCCTGGCCACAGCGAGCCCTCTGCGGGGAGAAGCTGCTCTAGGAACCATGGCAGCCTCCCTGGAGCCTCTCGGCCGCCACGAGCATTTTCGAGCCACAGTCACGTCAGCAAACCACGGCCCCGTGCATGGGGGCCTGATCCCGGTCTTGCGTCACTGTCCCAGCACTCCCACCCGCAACATCCTTACAGAGCCGCCTGGCTTGCACTGGTGTCTGTGAGCTCAGACTAGGCCCAACACCTCCCCTGCGCTAGCCGAGTCCAGCCTGGCCTTCCTGGGAACACTTACCCCAGTTTTAGTGGCAGGAGCTTGCTAGGGAAAGGAAAGAAATGTGGCTTCAGAATTCCAGAAGGGACAGATCAAAACCCCAGAACGCACCAATCAAAGCGGGACGTTAAAATGTAGTTACTAAAAAGGTCCAAAAACCCCTGAAGGATTACATTGAAAAAATCCACCAAAAATGTTAAATAGATTAGCTGAAGAAAAAGAAGAAAAGCATCAAAAAGCAGGAACAGTTAAATCCAAGCCCAGGGAAGAGGGAAGGAAAACAACGCTGGAGAATTGCTTATCCAGTACCTGACGCAGCCAGTCCGTGCCTGCAAGAGAAAGCAGACTGGAGCCACAAGTACCCAGAAGGACTAAGCAATTGCAAGGACTCTCAAAAATAACCAACACCCAAGAAATGTGAGAGAATCAAAACAAGAGCAAGAAAAAGCACAAGATGGAAAAGGATCAAAATGAACAAAAAGAGAAAAGGCGGGAAAAAGCAAAAAGCAAAAAGCAAAAAGCAAAAAGCAAGGCTTAAAAGAGATGGGGTGGAAATAGGCGGGGGACTCAGTCCCCTTTAAAGCTTCTGAAAGAAAATCAGTCGGGCTGAAGGAAGAGAGGGGCCCACAGGGCCTGGGGTGGCTGTTTGGTTTGGTGAGCTAGAAAAACTCCATTTCCCCAAGAGCAGTAGTTTCAAGCCTTGCTTGTTCAAAAGGAAAAGGAAAAGCAAAGCCCACGAAGGGCCAGATCCAAACACGCTTCCAAACGCCAAAAGTTCCAAAAAGGAACAAGAAAAGAAAAGAAAAGAAAAGAAAAGAACAGGCAGGGAGAGCAGCCAGCGTCTGTCCCTGCGGGGGGCTTACTCCTTTCTTGCCCGGCGTGTCGCCCAAGGCCGCTACAATGGCAAAGTACTGAATGACTCGCTTGGTGTTTACAGTCTTACCAGCACCAGATTCTCCGCTTAGGGTAACAGAAATACACAGATCAAGAAATGAGGCAGAGACAGGCACACCCGCTGCAGCTGCACTGAGACTCAGAAGCCAGGGCCTGGCCCAGCCGCCTGCCAACGGTGTCGTGGGAGAAGTGACACGTCCCGGGAGAGTCCGGCCCTGGGCGGCCCAGGATCCCGTCCGACTGGCTAGTGCTCTGCCTGGGAGCCCGGGGGGAGAGGGGCTATACACAGATCAAGAAATGAGGCAGAGACAGGCACACCCGCTGCAGCTGCACTGAGACTCAGAAGCCAGGGCCTGGCCCAGCCGCCTGCCAACGGTGTCGTGGGAGAAGTGACACGTCCCGGGAGAGTCCGGCCCTGGGCGGCCCAGGATCCCGTCCGACTGGCTAGTGCTCTGCCTGGGAGCCCGGGGGGAGAGGGGCTGGGCCAGCCCCCTGCGGGAGGGGTGGGGGGGCTGCCACTGGACATGAGCCAAGCAGCTCCCGTCTCAGCCCGGCCTGACCTAATTAGGCCATGGCCTGGGCTCAAAATGTCAGTGGCTCAAGGCAGCAGGGTCGGGCCATTCAGAGAACTTTATATAGCATTCACCTAGATGTCACGTGAACTTAACCGTGCCCGTCCCACCCCGCCTCAGCCTGCCCCGTCCCCCCC